GGATGGTCTTCGTCCGTTTTTTTTTTTGTTCTCGGTGCACAAACTGTTATTATGGCTGCAGTTCATTAGTCCCAACAACCCTGGAACTCATGGTCAATCTCTCTCCAACTCTCTCTCCAACTCTCCTCTCTCTCTATCTATCTCTCTCTCTCTATATATATATATATATATATATATATATATATATACACCTCTGATATTGTGCACTTTATCCCATATAGCACATCTTAAAATATATTTTAAAATATATATATATATATATATATATATATATATATATATATTTGTGTGTGTGTGTGTGTGTGTGTGGTTTTTCCTGTCGGGTTTAAAGTATGAGATTACGAGGACCCCTACTAATTATCGGCATGCCTATGAGAAGCATGACTTTTGAGCCCGGTTCTAGAAATACACAAAAGACCACAAACAGTACAGGATAATTATATATATATATATATATATATATATATATATATATATATATATATATATATATATATATATATATATATATATATATATATATATATATACACACACGCACACACACAAACATATACATATATAGGGTGGTAGCAGTACTTCTCTAAAACATGTTTCATTAAAAATAACTGGCATGGTATTTTTGATAATTTTGTATTTTTCTTGTATGTGAATAAGAATGTTTTATTTTTACTTACTAATTTTATAAATTTTCCAAATAATATTTCATTTCGAGCACTTTCGTTCAGACTCAAATGTCAGCAAAAGTACATCATCAATCATTTTAATGAAATACACACACACATAAACATACACCCTCCCACACACATATATATATGTGTGTGGTGGGGGTGTCTGTGTGTATGTAAGTTGAAAAGGAATGCCGGTGGATGACACACAAACAATACATTTTTTGTGTGATACTTGTAGCCATCTTTGCATCTCTCCAGGAGAGAGGGCCTCCCCGATGAAAATATTCACCTTCTGGATGTGTTCTTCTGGGCTCTTAAACCGTCTTGGGACCATTACACTTGCTCCTTCCGACTCCTACAGTTCTCCTTCATTCCTAGCGTATGTTCCATACTGTGCCAAGATGTTAAATACCCTCTAGAAGAAAGCGTGCTATGGTGCTGCCGAGAGTCCATACGTCTGACCTCGTTGCTCTAACATTCGACTGGACGGCTAAATAATACCCGTCATTTGTATATCACATGTTATACATTTCATCTCTGAAAGTTATGCGTCCTGGGCAAGAAGATGAAGTACATCCAACAGCAAGGCCTCTGATCAGGAGGTTTTCAGGAGCGTGGAACCAATTCTTAATTGCTGGCGTTACAAGGTCCACTTTGATCCTGTGTGGTTGCACCTGTTAGGGTCCCAGCTATGGGTAAATAGTTAACCCCAAAATTGGGGTCAAAACGCTATGAAAATATAAAAATAGCTTTTAATATCTGCAATACGTTTTTTATAAAAATTTATTACCAGCAATAAATTTTTGAAGGAAGAAATGTTACCAGCAATATAGTTTTAAATAAACCTAGATAGAGAGATAGATAGATTTGAACAGACTGGCATAGATAGATAGATAGATAGATAGATAGATAGATAGATAGATAGATATGAAGTGACTGAAATAAAGATAAATTTATTTATAGACAGAGATATGAAATGAGATAGATAGATAGATGATAGATAGATAGATAGATAGATGATAGATAGATAGATAGATAGATAGATATGAACATTGAGATAGATAGATAGATAGATAGATAGATAGATAGATAGATATGAACAGAACTGGGATAGATAGATAGATAGATAGATAGATAGATAGATAGATAGATAAAAACTATTACCAGCAATAAAATTTTGTTGGCATTAAATAACCCATTGAGGCTGATATACCGTAAGACAAACCAAACCAAACTAAACCTGAAATAATTAACTCCTAAGTAGGACCAAGAAATCCAGGCTTCATATTCTTCAATCATTTACGCAGTTTTGTGGGGGAAAACTTTCTTTCTACTCTGCAACAATTTTCCCAATAGACGCAACATTGCAAGTCTGTCTATGCTATATTGCTATTTTCATGGCAAATGTTCGGATGTGATCGATTCTTTAGTTCCACCAGTTCAGATCTTTTCAGCTAGGCCACGTCATGCTACTTCCACGGATTCAAATCACCCTCATTTCCGCTGTATTCCAATTGCAAGAAGAAAATTCCGCTCAGAGAGATTTTTACCAAGAAATATTAATTTCCGCGACAGACTCCTGCGGGAGTGCTTCCATGAACACTTCAATGTTAACCTCTTTACGTCTCGGGTCAATCGTAAACCGTTCTCCTTGTCTTCTCTGTCTCCACTTTGCTTCCATTCATATAACACCTCATTTATCGTTACCATTTTGACTGTAACCACCTACCTTGAGTGACACGCGAGCCATGCATTCGTCAAAATTTAGGTTAGGAAAAAAAAGGCCAGAGGATGCATAATAACATCGTTGGATAGAATGAGTTTTCACCTCAAAAATACATACCACTCAACGTATTCATCGACACTGTTCGTTTTCGCCAGCTGGTCACCACATATCGCTGATGCCCACTGCTGAAAGACAGCACCCACCGTTTAACTATACTTACAACTACTGTTTGATACCCTGAAACGTCGGTAAATATCAACAGGTGTACATTTTTTGCACGGAGGAATTCAACAATATATCTCTGTTTCAGGACAGACAGCTTCTTACCACACTACCGGTTAGTGTCTAGCAACAATAAGGTTAAATATTGGAGTCTTCTGGCAAGAAGGTCAACTTCTATTACCAACACCTAGCCTCAGAAATTGCGGTTCAGTATAATAGAATAGGAATCACTGCACGTTTTCCTAGAATACATTTCAATTAAAGTAGGCAATCCCTGTTGCAGATGTCTGCTCAGGCACGTTTATGTTTCTTCAGCACTCATAGAATCAACCTGGTGAACAGATTTTGTGTTTCTGGGAGAACGGGCATAATCTGAATTGATATGCCGTAAAACAAACCAAAGCAAATCAATATATACTGAAATAGATAGATAAAAAGAATAGATAGATAGATAGATAGATAGATAGATAGATAGATAATATTACCAGCAATAAAAAAAAAAACAAACTTGTCGGCATTAAACATTGAGGTTGATATACCATAAAATAAACTAAACCAAACCAAACCTGAAAATTATACCTCCTAACTTGGACCAAGAATTCCAGGCTTGATATGTTTCAAATTCAATTACGCAGTCTTGTGGGGAAAAACTTGCTTACTGCACATTTCCTAGAACACATTTCAATTAAAGTATCTAGGCAATCCCTGTTGCAGATCCTTGCTCAGGCACGTTTATGTTTCTTCAGCACTCACAGAATCAACCTGGTGAACAGACTTGGTGTTTCTGGGAGAACGGGCATAATTATGAATTGATCAACAATTTGATCAAGGACAGTACGCTCAAATCATCTTCGGATTTTTTAAAGCATTTCACACTAAGCAAGGAAATAAAGCCACTAAGACCCAAATGGTCACTGAATGTGAAAGAATATGAGAAAAATAAAGCATTATTAAGGAGAGAGAACAATAAATGAACAGGAATTTAAAAGACAAAGGATAACGATTGATAACGATAACGATTGACATTGCATTTTTGAAGGCCAAAGATCAAGCAAGAAGACATAAGCTGAGACCTAGCTGCCAATCCAGTACTGCGGTTAAATTCATGAATTCTAGAAACCAAATAGTAAAGCTCATCATAGCAATTACGCTGAAAATATTGATAGAAAATGTACAGGGAAGGTGTTTGGCAATGGGAAAGTGACGGAGATATCAGATTCTTCTTTGTATTTTATCAAGAATCTCTAAATACATATTAGAAGAGCCAGAGGATATTTCCACAAGCAAGAAGTGCGAGGAAAGGAAATGTTAGCGTAGAACTTACGATTGAATCTAAAAATTCCAACTGCAAAATGGTGAGACTTAGTTTCATATCTAGTACAGTCGATATATAAAAGATTTTTTGCCGACCATAGCATTTCGATTCAAATTTAACTCTGATTAATTTGTCATGGTTTTTTTTTTTTTTTAAATATTTTTGTCCAAGGGAGACGATGTGATGTCTGATAAGTGAAATTGGGCGGATGAAACTGTAATCTGTCGATGGATGTGTTAGCCGAAATACATAATTCCGGCTTTTAATTTCGTAGGCAATATATTAATTAACGTGTTCTTTGGACATAAAACAATGAAATTAAGAATTGGGTTAGGCAAAAAAAAAAAAAAATGTAAAGGTAAACTTGGTTGAATTCTGATTTCGTACAAAAGATATTTAATCTTACAGAAAAAAATATTTATAAGACAAATCGAAGAATAATATTTTTTTCTCTTCATAAAACGATCTTGAGATTCCTACAAGCGATGGGTCGATAAAGATAGACGCGTGTCGATTAAACAATTCAGTTAATTTCTTTTTTAATTAAAACTTCTATTAATCAATCCATCTTTGAGTTTCAAGATTTGAATATTAATTTTTCAAGAAAATGAATTTGATGTGTGTTGGGTTGTGTGGAGGGGCGAGCGTTCGCGTGAGTGTCTTTTGCTTTCATTTGTCAGTTATCAAGAGAAGAGTACGGAAACAAAAGCGGCACACCCACGATATTCCTAATGATCTAAGCATTAATCTATTCAGGGGAGTAAAAGGTTGGACAAAATAATTGCTTTATCATCAGAATATCCTTCCCAGCATTCCTCTCACGCTTTCGCTTTCAGAGACTTTCTATAAAATCAAGTTTAATGAGGTTTTTTCAACAGTTCTTCATTGATGCATATTTACCTCGCACTCCCTTTTAATTCATTGGTATGTTTGCATCTATCTATCTTATTCATTTCATATCTATCTATCTATCTATCTATCTATCTATCTATCTATCTATCTATCTATCTATGTAGCTAACTAGCTAGCCATCACATGCTTTCCATAACTATCACATGGTTTTCATATGTATTTATCACATATTTCATATCTATCTATCTATCTATCTATCTATCTATCTATCTATCTATCTATCTATCAAATTCTTTTCATATCTATCTATCTAATTATGTATCAAATTATTCTTATATCAATCTAGATCTTTTCCTATCTATCACATACTTTTCATATCTATCTGCCTATAACTTTCTCCTCATATCTATCTATCTATCTATCTATCTATCTATCTATCACATTATTTTTTATATCTGTCTATCTTTTTATTTCTTTTCATATCAAATATCAATTTAGTTTTTTTCATATCTGTTTTTCTATGTATCTATCTCAGTCTGTTCTTATCTATCTATCTTTTAATCTCTCTCTCTCTATATATATATATATGTGTGTGTGTGTGAGAGAGAGAGAGTGTGTGTGTGTATACACAAACGAAATATATACACACACACACATAGATATATATACATATATATATATAGCTATCAGTTTAAATCTGCGTATCGATCTGTCTTACTCTGTTCATCTCTCTCTCTCTCTCTCTCTCTCTCTCTATATATATATATATATATATATATATATATATATATATATATATTTTGTGTGTATACACACACACACACACACACACACACACATATATATATATATATAGCTAAGCTATCAGTTTAAATCTGTGTATTGATCTGTCTTACTCTGTTTATATCTCTCTTTCAACTCTAATTATACGCATACACACTCAATCATATATATGTAAATGTGTATGTATGTATGTATGTATGAATTGGTAAACCATGTCAATATCTACGTTTATCTTTATTTCTCATATCTAGCTGCTCATTCTGCAGTTCCTCTGCCCTATCGTGATATTACGTTATATCAAATCAACACCTTGAAGAATACAAGTTGCTTTTTTAGAGATTCCTTTTATCGAGATTTGTTTCTTTTAAAATTTAATAGTCGAAAGATCTTAGGGGAAAAAAACCCAAAAACGAATAATTTCATTTGCATTTATCTGCCTTTTGTATTTCTCTGGGAAACATATTTGGAATCCATTCTAGTTTCGTTCAAAAATTCCTTTACTATGTTGGATGGTAATCAGGAAATGGATCTCACTAGCAGTAGCTGACATTATATTATATATGTAACTCGTAAATGCATCCACGAAAACAAATTCCTACTACGCTACCTGCCATAACATAACGACACAAAGGTAATAACGTCTTATAATTTAAATCTAATGAACTTTATTTAAAAAAAGGATAGAATAAAATATAAAATATATAAATTACGACAAAACTTGATTAATTCGTTTCTACGGCTTATCAACACTTTGCAGTTTATTTAAAGCCAGGAAGTATTTTCAGATTCTAAGATTTTTTTTTTTTGAGATAATAAAGGTTTAGTAATAAAAGTCTTACTAATTAGCCCATAGCTAGGGTGAGAAGAGGTGGATTCATAATTAATCAGAATTTGATAAACAAACAAGAAATTATAATGGGAATATAACTTGGGGGATCAATTCCATATTACAATCAATATATAAAATGATCCCTCATTTTATGGCCGCGGTAGTTTCTGTACATTTACATTCCAGAGAATAAAAAACATGTCTGTGTAGCTAATCAATATTTCAATGATTTATTCTTTTTCTACGGCTTATCAAACTTTTGCGGAAGGGCGTGGTTTTGGTCACTAGTAACAATTCTTTGTATTTCTGGCATGCAACTTCATAGGCCAAGAGAATGGGATCGCCCACGTGCAAAAACCCTCCCACTATAATTAAGACTAGAGCGATAATTATTATTAAGAAATAAGAAAACTGTTCAATACTTATTGAATGACAACATTATTTCCTAAGTGAATCAGTCATCGGAATTTGAAACAAGGATGATTGCATTAATTACAGAAAAATATAAATCAGAAGAAAATGCTATTTTTATCGTTTGATTTGTTTGATATTTCACGACTTATCAACCTTTTCAGGTTATTTAAATTTAGTATTTATCTATATATCTGAAATGAGGTATTATGTACACTATTTACATTATTTGGACTATTGTCCTCATCTTTGTTGCCATATTTATTACAACGTTTCGGCCTTTCAGTATCTGCCTATATTTCTGAGATTAGGTATTATGTACACTATTTACAATATTCGGACTATTTTCCTCATCTTTGTCGCCATATTTATTACAACGTTTCGGCCTTTCAGTATCTGTCTATATTTCTGAGATGAGGTATTATGTACACTATTTACATTATTCAGACTATTGTCCTCATCTTTGTCGACATATTTATTACAACGTTTCGGCCTTTCAGTATCTGTCTATATTTCTGAGATGAGGTATTATGTACACTATTTAAATTATTCGGACTACTGTCCTCATCTTTGTTGCCATATTTATTACAACGTTTCGGCCTCTCAGCATCTGTCTATTTCTGTGATCAGGTATGATCTACACTATTTATTTGTCGCCAAAGTGAAGTGTCCCGAATTCGGAAACGCTCAGTGTGCCCCCGGCCACAATAGGGTGTTCGGGAGTTTCAACTTGATATATTTGTGATGAACACGGTCTTTCCCCCGGGTGTCAGCGGAACTAAGTGCGGGTGTTGCTACCCCCTAAACGAGCCCTGATCTCATGACTATCATTCAACAGATTCGCTATTACCAAACGTCTTTAATTTAAAAGACACATACGATAAAGTTTAGATATTTTAGGGCCGTACTTACTTCCCTGGTGCACCAAAATAATTAATTCCATTACCCCAGTCTTCTAACATTCCTCTGTCACCCTTGATGACCAGAAATTTCTTTAATCATTCTGCCTGGCACCATTCGTTTGCGCAATACTAAAGAACAATGCCTCACTCAGATCTAGCGTTAAAATTAGGTTTTAAATATTTTAACGAACCATGAATATTAAAATTACGTTTTAAGCCAATGAGGTCTCAATTCCTACCCAGTAATTGTATATTATAAAGCTTGAAATGTTTCTTCGTTATCTTTTATATAAACTGTGATGAAAAAATCTCAGCCAATCTACTTCGACGGGCCGTAAATGCATATTTATACATTAGAATAAAAAATTAAATTATTCACTTGCAATTGTGAATCTCGTGATTTCTTCACATTAATTTAAAAATCAAACAATCATGTTTTTGACGTCACCCCGGCCTCTCCGCGCCCGTTCCCGTGCTATCCTGAGACGACCAATGTGTCGCGGCACCAAATGTCACGTTCTAAACCTTGGCTGATTCGGATGGGAATCTGGTTAGATTCGGTATCAGCTTTGTCGTTCCCAGTTCTCCTCCAACGTCTGGTTACCGAAGTAACTGCTTTGACTTCTAGTCTAACCTACCCAAGTTGTGATTTGATCTTAGGTAGACGAAATCAATCAGTCGCCGGGCCGCAATGCAGGCCGAGTCCGAGCAAAGGTAACACCGCACAAGTATATGTAAAAGAAAATAAAGTAACAACTCGAAAAGTTCAAATGTGCTAAAAAAGAATAACAATATTTTTATATCTGGTTGCTGAATACAAAACTGCGTCTTTCTCCTAACCCGCTTCTATGGATTCGTGACACTTTGCGTTTGTTAGGCGAGTCTTGTTTTTCGATAACTGGTTTTTTGTATCTTCAGGTGATATTCGTAAAACTTGTTTTGGTGGTGTGAGTCTAAGTCGTTCTTCAAAAATAAATTGTTCTTGGTTAGAAGTCGAAGTCGGGATGCGTGGATCTTCAGTCAGCTTCCTGCGAGGCTGGTCCCTGTCTGCGTCTCTCTCTCCAACTGCAACTGCTTAACTTTTCATGCAACAAAAACAGACTTATCATTATTGTTTCGTCCGTGTATTGTTTGATATATTGAAATGTAATTGTCATCTTTGATAATGGCTTATGTAACCCGAAAGCTTAGATTGGATTTAAACATGTATCAATATGGTGATTTCATTTCGTCTTTCAACGATAATGTTATTAAGCTTATCTGACAATATGAAAGAACTTATTTTAAAATAAATAGACAAAACTTGTCTATATTGCTTAATGAAACATGCATGCATCTATCTATCTATCTATCTATCTATCTATCTGTCTATATATATATATATATATATATATATATATATATATATATATATATATATATAATTATTATAAAGAAAAGGAACTCTTAAAAGACCATGATAATATTTATTTCGTTAAGATCGAGAGTTCGAACTCAACTCATCAGACCAACACCATACTCACACATATATATTTTTAGATTTAGTAAAAATTTTGGGGGGAAATAATGCCTGGCGATGCGTTTACTCAAAGAGTTATCCCTAATAATTTGACATATTCGGCGACTTGATGCGTCTGCGGACAAGTCCACCTGAAAATAATAATGCAGATACCGCGAATGTACTACTTCAACACCACCATGTTTTTCACCACCGCCCGATCTATAACTGAAGTGTGTGTGCAACGTACCTGTATTGAGAGGTACAGAGCAATACACCCACCACACCGCTTTTCCAACACGTGACACATGCATTTATGTTTTTTTTTCCCGACACGATATTAAAACATGTAAGGACTTTTTCGGTTATCTTAAATAAATACAAAACAATTTACTTATAGCCTCAATTATAAACTCAAATAAATTTACCTATAGTCTCAAGTATAAACATAGATTTACCTATAGACTCAATTGCAAATACAAGCAACTTTACTTATAGTCACTAGTATAAACTCAAATAAATTGAGCTATAGACTCAAGTAGAAATACGAACAACTTTAGTCATAGTCTTTAGTATAAACACAAGCAAATTCATTTACAGTGTCTGGTATGAACGCAAACAAATTTATCTATAGTCTCAAGTATAAACACAAACAGATTTACCTATAGACAATAGTGTAAATACGAGCAACTTTACTTATAGTCTCAAGTATAAACACAGATAAATTTACATATAGCCTTAAGTATAAATACGATCACATTTGCCCGTCGACTGAATTATAAACAAGACTAAAAGAAATATATACTACATACTTATGGAATAATTTTGAATTAGCTATGATATCACAATTCAATGCAATTAATCAAAAATGTTTTTTATAACATATCACCTTTTC